CAATGTGGGGCTCGATCCCAGGACCCTGGGATCATGACCTGAGCCGAAGGCAGACGCTTAACGACTGAGCCACCCAGGTGCCCATAAATAAATAAAAGGGTCCAGGAGGGGCGCCTGGCTAGCTCAATTAGTGGAGCATGCAACTCTTAATCTTGGGGTTGTAAGTTCCAGCCCCACATCAGTTGTAGAGAGACTTAAAAATAAAATATTTTTTAAAAAAGAGGGGAGGGTGTCCAGAAAGAGCACAACCTTCCATTAAAAGAAACAAGCCTCTTCAGTAGGGGTTTGTGGAAGGGGGGAAATAAAGGGGGAAAAAATATGTCAGTAAAGACTTTCTACCCAGTGGTAGAGAGAAACTCATCCCCAGGGGCCAGGGCAGGGAAGGAGAGGAAAGATCTACTTTGTTTTGTCCATGTATATATATTTATAGAGCTCATATGTTGAAAACTTTACAGAGTGAATACCTTTCGCCTATGACCACCCCTCTCTTTCTACATATTTCTCTCTCTGTCCCAACCTGCTTAACCCCTGTTGCACAAAGATATCCAATGCGGTGCCCACCGCCGACTTTGGTGCACGGCCTGTCCTGCAGGGGGAAGTGAGAGTATCTAGCACAGGCCTGGGCCGGCGAAGCCGTCCTCATGCACAGCCCAGGACAGGTCCCAGGCCCTGGCCGCACCTAGCGTGGAGGAAGGGGCCCCACCACCCACCACCACCCTTCCATGCCAACTTGCTATTGGCATGGCCCTGGCACAGAGGTGTCCAGAGAGTCGAGGGCGGGCTAAGAGCACAGCCAGGTGCTCAGGCCTGGGAGCTGAGGGTGGGGGGCGAGGAGTAGCGCTGGCGGGCATGCTTCTCACAGTACAGCTCGTCCCCCACCCAGAAGTGCCCGCGCATCTTCAGGTTCAGCCCGCAGTCTGCGCAGGTGTAGCAGCCCGGGTGCCGGTAGCGCCCCTCCTGGATGCGTACAGCGTGGTTCCTGCAGGGGGCGATGGAGAGGGCGGAGCCGTCAGCCTGGGGGGTTGCGTGGAGGCGGGGCGACCGGCAGGACCGCCGCCCGTCTCGTTCCCAGGGAGCCTAGTTCCCAGCGCAGATTCAGGGAAGATCCGCAAATTTCAGACCCTGAGTCCCCGAGCCTTCCTTCAGGGCTCTCACTTCAATAACCCCCCAACCCCCACCCCCAGGACCTCTAATTAAAAAAAAAAAAAAGTCATTTCTCCTTTACACGAAGGCAGATAAACTCCATCCTGAATTTTCTGGGTTGTTAATAGAGCAGTGGTCCCAGGTACAAGGACCCACAGCATCGCATTCCCTGGGGACAAGTTGGAAAAAATGGAAGCTCTGGGGTGTGGGCCAGCAATCCCTCTGACGGGTCCCGGGGAGCTCCGCAGCTGCTCTTTGAGGACCACCCCATGCGCGTCTGCACAGCAGGCACGGGGAGTACCCCATTCTGCAGGCGACACTAAAGCCCGCAGACGCTAAGGGATTTGCCTCAAGTGAGTCATCTGACCGTTAGCACTGCGTGCAAGACATCTACGGCAGGGGGAGTGGGCTTTCAGCGATTTGCCGGAGAATCCGGCTGCATTCTAATGCCACCCACGGAGAAAAATGAATCTACCTCTGGAAAATCCATCCCTTTCCAAAGTGGGGAGGGAAGAGCAACATTTTCCAGAAGGAAAATGCCTCATCTAGAGGCAGATCTCCAGAGGCTTTGAGATTACTGGAGAGAAATCAGAAGCAGTAGCATTTCTTCCTCCTCCTCCGAGGGCGAAAGAAATGAGCAAGGAGGAGATGCCGCGGGAAGAAGCCAGCAGGGCACTGTGAGAAGCCTGAAAATACCGCACAAGACCCCCTCCCACAGCCGCACCGCAGCACGGCCCCCCCTCCAGGGGCCCTGACAAGTTGCTCTCCGCAG